GTGATCGTGAATGACATCCAGTTGACAGCGACAAGCAAGCTCAGAGAGCTCCGAGCAGCCTGTCACTTTTATGGCATCAGCCAGTCAGGCAGTCGGCTGAAGTGCTTTCAGAGAATTGTGAGCCATCTCAAAGAACGTGAGCTGAAGGCGGCATCAGAAGCAATTGCAGCTGCAGAGTTACAGATGGCAAGACAACCAAAGATGCAGAACATCATCCCGGTCCCTTCACAGCAGGTGCAGGATCTTCATGCACTCACACACGTGCCATATCAACCGTGGTGCGAGGTCTGCTTGAAGTACCGAGGAAGGCCGGACAGACACCTGAGGACAGGATCTTCTCACACTGGTGGCATCCCAATCATCTCTTTGGACTTTGCCTACACCAAAGCTGGCGAAGTGGACAGGACACCCACCGTTCGAGATCCAGGCCATGATCCTGATGATGATGGAATGGCGATCGACCTCTATGACCAGGAGGAGCAGCCAGAGGCTAGAGAGCCCAGGATCAGGGAGCTAAAGTCGTCTTTCTGGCTGATCATGGTTTGCAGTCAAACAGGAAGCTTGGGAGCCGTTCCCCTCCAATCGAAAGGACAATTGAACCTCATGGCCAGAGAGATCATGAACTTCGTCCAGAGTTTAGGCCATGTTGAGATTGGACTCTATGGGGACAACGAGCCGACAATTCGCTCCCTCCTCCGGATTCTTTTGAACAGCAGGCATGCTATGTGACTTCGAACTCGTTTGTACACCACAAAGGTGAAAGATTCTGCAGGCAACTCCCTTGCTGAGAACGCCATCCAACGAGTACGAGGCCTTGCATGCACATTGATGGGTGAGGTCATGGCAAAGACTGGTCAGGTTTTCAATACCAACCATGGATTGTGGAGTTGGGCGGCGCGTCATGCATGCTGGCTGTTGAACAAGTTTCAAGCAACAAAGGGCATCACAAGTCACGAACTGGTCCACGGCAAGACCTACAATGGAGCTTTGGTTCCTTTTGGATGCCCAGTGTATGCTTTTGTGAAGCCCCAGTCAGGTAAGGGCAACCCTCGATGGCGGATGACCCTGTTTCTTGGAAAGACTGAAGGTCAAGATTCCTGGATCGTGGGAGACGGCAGCCAAGTCATGCTGACCAGGTCTGTGAGAAGAGTGGACCGTCCGTGGAAGAACTTCGGAGCCTATTACCAGAACTTTGCCACCTTCACCTATGAGTATCAGATCAACTTTGGTGGGCGCATTGTTCCTAGCAAGCGAGCAGCAAGTGCGGTTCCACTGCAACTTGGTCCAGCACCTCCTCGAGATGAAATCCTGTTTAGATATCGAGATGAAGAAGCTGAGGAGGTGGAACGTTATGCATTGTCCAAAGAGGGCCAGGAGGAAAGCCAAAGGGAGATAGATGAGGCCCGTGAGCCTGATGCACAAGCAATGATTGCAGAGGCTGGAGAACCAGCACCATCAGCCCCACAGAGAGGAGAGCCCAGTGGAGGATTGCTGACACCCCCAGCTCTTGGAGATCAACCTGGGGAGAGGGGCGCAGGAGGAGAAATTCCAATGGTCATTGAACCGCTTCCTTGGGATGAGGACGCTCTACCTCCTGAAGGACGAGTTCTGAAGAAACTCCCTCCTCCAGAATCTGCAGTCAGGGCCGAGCCAGAGGCCAAACGGGCGAGAACAGAAAAGCCACCAGAAGGAGGAGCAAGCGCATCTGGACATCAGCAACTCGTGGAGCGCAGAGTGGAGAAGGTGTGTGTTGGAGGAGACACCATGTACCACCTGGACGAAGTGGTGGATGTTGAGACGATGGCCATTGAAGAAGGAGAAGAGGACGTTGAGGACTTGAAACCTGGTGCCATCCCTGAAGAGCTTTGGAGTGATGCTCCCCTAACGAAAACACCTCCTGATCCGAGTTGGGAGGTGGATCTCTTGGCGAACAAGGTGGAGGAGCAGAGATTGATGAGGATGGATGTCATGGAGAAGCTCAAACCAGAGGACAGGAATTTGGACAAGCTCACCACTCGCTTTGTCCATGATTGGAGGATCAAGCCCTATCCACAACCTGATGGAAAGTCAAGGAAGCGTTGGTTGAGGAGAGCGAGGCTGGTAGCCAGAGAATATGCAAATGATCGATGCGATGAAGTCTATAGCCCAGCTTCAGGACAACACTCTCTTCGACTTCTGCCTGCACTGTTCCTAAACAACATTGTGGTGAGTCAGGGCATTGATGGAGAGCAGGGACCGCCAGTGTTGGGTGCACTTGACATAAAGGATGCATTCCTGCAGGTTCCCCAAGAACGACCTCTTCAGATCACGACCAATACTGGCTACTACAAGGTCCTCAAGAACATTCCAGGTCAGAGGATTGGAGCAAAGGCATGGTATGAGTTCTTGAGAACTTATCTTGAGGAGGAGCTCAACTTCGCCTTTGACGTGGTGAACCCATGCCTTGGAAAGAAGGGCATGGACAGTGAACTAATCTGTGTGCTGGTACATGTCGATGATGTGATGTTCACTGGAAGGCAGAAAGCTGTGGACGCCTTTGTGTGCAGATTGAAGGAGAAGTTCGAGGTGGAAGTGTCCATGGTAAGAAACTACAACGATGAGTTCGCCTTCCTGAAACGCAAGTACATCTATGTCCCAGAAGGTTTGCTAGTGAAGCCTGGACAATATGCCACGAAAATGATCAAGACCTTCGAAGATAAGTATGGCCCTGTGAGGAGACAAAGACTTCCTGCCACTTCAGACATCCAGGACGCCGATGGATCCAATGTTGTTGCCCCAGAGCACGCGTCAGTGTATCGTTCCATTGTCGGCATGGGCATCTACCTTTCACAAGAACGCCTGGACATCAGCTTCGTTGTGAAGGAGTTAGCAGGAAAGATGTCAAACCCCACGGAGTTGGCCATGCAGAAGGCAAGGAGGTTGGTTGGGTACCTCAAAGAGACGGAAGAGCAACATATTCTTCTACCCCTTCCAGTTCAAGGAGAAGGACTACATGGCCACAGCCATGAGACTTGGTTGCTTGAGAGCTTCACGGATGCTGACTGGAGCGGCAACCGAGGAACAAGAAAGAGCACTTCGTCTTCGATTCATGGGTTGAACGGCATGGTTATCTACACCACCTCCAGAGGCCAGAAAGTTGTCAGCCTCTCATCGGCAGAAAGTGAGCTACATGCATTGGTGGCTGGCGCATGTGATGGCATATGCATCAAGCACGCCTTGGAGTTTTTGACAGGAGATCCAGTACATCATGTTTGCTGGGTCGACAACTCTGCCACCAAACAGATTGCCAACAAGCGTGGAGCTGGACGACTTCGCCACATCAGTGGCAAACTCCTCTGGTGCCAGAATAAAGTTGCAGAAGGCACGATGGAGGTCAAACAAATCAGTACCACACTGAACCTGGCCGACATCGGCACGAAACCACTTTCGAAAGCACGGCTCAGGCTATTGCTCTACTGGTGCAACGCCAGGAATGGAGATGGAAGCCGCGTCGGTGAGCAAGAGTACCAGGACTTTGAGAAGAGCCACGTCGAGAAAGGGAAGATCATGAGAATGGCAAAGTACCTCAACAGGATTATTCTCCTGAGCGGTCTTGAGCTGGCCGCGGGCAACAAGGTTGAGGAGAACTACATTGAGATCAACTACATGTTCCCCTTTCAGTGGTGGCTTGGCCTGGTCATCTTCGGCTTTCTGATGTTTGCCATCATGTTCCTATGGAGCAAGGTTCAAAGCCTGGAAAAGAGGGTCGCCTTCCTACAGCACCGAGTCGAAAGGTGTGAACAAGCCCACAAGGACAACATCGAGCAGATGGACAAGGAGAACTCCATGACTGCAGACTACGTGGAGCGAGTGCACCGAGGGCTGATCAAGCTTGGAGGGCATGTAGAAGACCCATCAGTTCAGCGAGTTGAATGGCAGAGCCTGAACTACATCCAGAAGATCAACACGTGGCACGAAGGCCTGGAGCTGAGAGAAAGGTGGAAGAAGATGGAAACAATTCAGCAGGAAAGAGGAGAGCAGCTTCCTGGTGCCGGCATTGTCAACATTGATGTTGATCCTGGAGAACCCGGGCTAAGTGGAGAGACGGCAGTCATCATTTTGGATGGCGGGCGGATTGTGCAGGTTCCAGTGGAGTATGTCGAGCCGGCAGGTGGTGAGACAGCAAGAGATCAGACTGGTGACACATCGATGGTGGAACCAGAGCCTTCACCTGGAGAAGATGAAGTACCAGACCACGAGATGGAAAGTGAGCGCGAAAGTGCGCCTGAGGTTGTAGATGCTGCATGGGAGCCGGAAAGCATTAGGATTCCGGACGGACAATTTGTCCATTTCAATCGGGCATACAATCGTGCAGACTTGATTGCCCGAGAGGAGCTTCTAAAGATGGAAGCGAATTGGTTTCATGGCCATAGAAATGGCACAAGAGCTTTGATGGACGAAATGCAAGACCTGATGAGGGAGTCTGTGCACCATGTCCATAATTTTTACCCTTAGAGGTGAATTTGCTGGCTTGTGATTGACCACTCATCAAGCCAGAGGAGGAGTGCAAAGAGTCACGACAAGCACTCACTCATGAGCGGTAGATCATCTAAGATGACACGCACAAATCAAGAAGCTTGTACATGAGACCGCAACTTTGCCCAAGCAAGAAAAGCTTCGCAATATCATATATTGCTCCTCGAGACCTCGATGTCCACGCTGTTTATGTTCGCCGCTCCGACATCAGAGCGGAGCATCCGGTCCGGTCAGGCCGGCGTGGAACACGTCGGAAGAGTCCATACACGACCCTGTTGAAGTCATTCAATGGTATGAGCATGTATAAGCACTGCATGATGTAACCCGATCAAGCCAATACAGCTAATATGCGAATTTAGATGTAGAACATGGATGAACATGGCCACCTTCGTAAAGGAGCATGGTTGTGAGAGGGTCCATGTTCAATTGATTTCAATTGTCTAAATATACCGTATAGAAGTTGAAAACATATAACATTTTGCAACTTGCACTGGTGAATCAAACGTTCCTTTTCAGGTCCCCTAACTACTAGCCTTGAACTTTGGGGCAGGTCATGCTAGTTGGCCGGAAGAAACCATCCTGCTAAGGCCAGCTGCTGCAAGTTGGCATGAAGCAAGACATCCACGACCCACTTTTACGTGGACCATTGCATTTGAGCGCCATAGCTGGTCAGGAATCCGCCGATGGTTGCCCTCGCCGTCGTCATCGACAAAAAGTAGAGCTACGTGCAGCTGAAGAACTGTGATTGCTTCATCTTGAGGAACAGGGCAAGAAAACGTTAGAAAAAAGAACAGCAAACACGATTTTCACAAGTTGTTTGATGAGGTTGTTCGGAACCCGGGGTAGGCCACTTACAAGCGATCCCTCAAAAGAAGCCGCCTTGTGGATGTGCAACTCTCCTTGGACAACAACTCCGTACAACTTCTTTCACATTAGCCAACGCACAAACATGCAGAGATATATTCACCTGCGCATATGTGTGGAGACATGCATGCCCGGTTCAATTGGAGATGCCAAAGTCACTATGACAAGAGCATACTTCAGCAGAAAGGCACATGGTTCTTTTAGCATGTTAGAGAATGGTTACATAGGGCAAACATGAAACACAGCGCAAAGTTGTGCTCACATGGCTCAAGATTTGGCTACAAAAACTCAACACCTTGAAATTCCTCCCACTCACCAAGGACGCTACTAGGGGCTCCTGGCATCGCTACTAGGAACCAGAGGCTACGAACGGGGCTCCTGGCCTTACTACGAACGGCGATCGGACGCTACGGATCTGAAAGATCACGGTGATGTCTAACGCCTGGAGACCAATGTGGAGTCGGATATACAGACGGTAGATGAGGTGTTTGACTCGTGGACTGAGTGAGGCCTTTTGGTTCCGCAATTGAGTCCATGGGGTGCGGTTCTCAGGAGATTGCACAGATCGATTGATTGTTCATATGGCCAAGATCAAAACCCATTGACCGTGACCATGTCACACCGAACCGACCTGGCTTCAAGCCAAGAACAGCGACGCTTCCACGTCGACCGCCACGTGCGACGTCGACCGTGAGCGGGTGTCGCGGTTGTTCGTCGTCCCATCCCGTCGTCCCGGGGGACCGGCGAAGAGTTCAGGAGAACATGACTCGGCTCTTGCTCGCCTTTCATGCCGACGTCGACCAATTGGATGCCACCCGCCGTGCGCCCCTGCACCACGCAGCCGCCGCAGGCGAGGGGGGTTGGACCAAGGGCGGAGCGTGCGCAGTGAAGACATGTAGATGTCATTCAAGAGAGCAATGACAAAGTGAATTCCAGTGCCAGATGTTGTCCCATCACTCTTGCACAACATGGTGTTTTCTGAGGAGAACCCTTTCCTTTCGTGTGGAAGGAGCAATCCATTGCCCCGGGTATCTTAGAATAGAACGGTACCCGGTATATCAGATCCACCCCTACTTTGGATTACACTGGTTCCGGATCAGATCCACTGGAAGATTTGGGTGCCGGCTGCACGACTCATCACCCAAGAGAACCCACAGTCTTCTCATGTTTTCTCTATACCTATATATATAATTATATATATAGCTATATAATATAAATAGATATAAAGCGTTCTTGAGGAAACTGCTTCAAACTGGTGGCCGCCTTTGTGGGAGGATGATTCCTTCCTCTTCTATATATACTACCGACCGGTGACTTAAGACTTGTGTGGGCCAGTGACATAGTAGTTGTGGCTCACTACTCCTAAGTCATTGGGAACACAAAAATTGCAGAGTTGCTGATTCAAGCCTCATGACTTGGGAATTGTTGCCAGCTGATGATCAAGCATTTTATCTATTCTTTTTTCAGGGAGGGGGGGAATTGATGCACACAGAACAAATGACATAAGAATCGGCCTGCTCCTTTGTCTCATCCCTTTTTCTCATCCCTTTCCTATCTCATCATGTTTCATCATGCCTCCTGGTACTTACAACTCCTGTCTCACGTCGTTTATTCATCTTTTCCGGCAGCTTTCTGTTTTTCTTTTTTAGAGCTATTCTTGTGTGACCATGTTTTGATGTGTTTCTCTACTTTAAAGTCCATGACATAGGAGTTGTGTACATTGCTCAAAAATGCTTTAAGACCCATGACAAAGGAGTTGTAAAACCCACCATACGTTCTACAACTCCTTTGTCACTAGTCGAGAGTATAGTTTCTATGTCTCAGGGATTCTCAAGGATTTTGATGCAACTCTGAGGCTCAGGCCCGAAGGAGTTCAAAGATGTTCAAAGGCTCAGCCCATGTCTTAAGGAGTGTCATGACGATGGCCCGCCCTCATTCGAAAGGTGCCTGCTGGAACCCCGTTCGACCCCACAAACAGATTTGTTTTTCTTTGTTAGGCTTGTTTTGTTATAATATGTTGTTATACTATGGACATACCTTTTGAGAAGGTGATTGGAGACTATTTAAGTAGGCTTGAAAGCCCAAGTGCCTTGTGGGAAGGTATGTGGAACCCTAGGGATTGCCAAGTAGTCGGCAGCAGTGAGTCAAGCTGAACATCCTTTTTTCTATTTTTGTGCAAAGTTCGATCCTGATCATCTATACACGTGTTTTCCTTGTATTTGTGCAAACCGTTCTTTTTTTCAGACATCACAAAGCTATGATGTTTAACACGTTTGATGTTGCGGTTACAGTAGTTAAGTTGTTTCTTGGCTATCCTCGAAGTTAGTGGTGATATCAAGGGAGTGATTGCACGCTGCACGGATTGCTATGTAATGTGTAGCATGCAAGATCCAGGTTCATAACTTGAAGGTTCAAGGTTAATGTTACAGTTTGTTCTTGTATTTCAGGACTGTCGACCAATATGTCTACACGACTCTGACAACCTTGTGAGCTCGCCAAACGAAAACCAGCATTTTAGGTGCGGTCTGGTGTCTTTGGTAGGGATTTGATCCATCAGTGGGAGACAGGACCTCTCCTCAGTATTTCATCCCTCCCAAATCAGTGGAAATCCTGGACACCCACCCTCTGCATAAACTCCAGCTGTTGTGCAAAACCCAGGGATATAGTCTCCATGAAACCTTGTGACTAAAGTCTGTTGCGCGCATGAACTGCTTGGATGCCTCGCAAGTTCGTCTTCGCAGGTCACATTGCCGTCGCGCGGGCTTTGGTGCAGAACCGTGCAACTTTGGAGCTTCAAGATGAAGAGGGCGAGAGGCGGGCTTCACCTTGGGGATCGAAGTTCCGGGGCAGCAGTGTTGCGAGGGTCTCACGGCAGACAGTGAGTTCAGTCAAACATTCACACCATCATGGCCTTCATGGTTTCTGTTCACTTATGAATTCTGGAGTCATGGGCTCTTGGCGACTCGGCTGCACGTCATCCTCCACCGAAGCGACCGGCGCTTCGTCGGCTTCTACGGTGAACGCGGGGACTGTTTTACGGAACGACCTCCCCGGGAGCCGGTGTTCGACGTCGACGGATTCCCGGCAGCCGGGTCCAGATGTTAACAGAGGTTCAGAATCAACCAATGGCGAAAAGAGGAGTTACAGGGTTCTCTACGTTTCCATACCGATGTATCTCTCATCTATATATCTCATATAAGGGTTTTGATGCAACCAAATGGCAGGGTTCTATACTTACAGGGGTCCAACGGTTGGCTGTCTGGTTCAGGTCACGTGTCGTTTCAGTGGGTGACGAGATGTCGTTTCAGTGGTCGGGTGTTGTTTCGCAGTGCGCGCCGACCGGCCTTTGGCAGCTCGCCAGTCCTTTGCACCTGGCAGCTCGCCCCAAACGTGCAGAGACTTGGCAGGATGGCAGTCACGGCAGGATGGGTCAAACCACTCGTGTGGACCAAATCAAACGGCTTGAGAAGTGCCAAAAGAGCGGGGTTTGTAATCAGATCAACACGTCCTTGACATGGAGAGCCTTGGGGAGCCTTCAAGATCAGATCCAGCAAATTGATCCAGAGATTGATGTTTCTGAACGGGATTTATCCAGCAAAACTCAAGGTTTCAGCCTGCTTTCAATCAATCCATTTCTTGACCACTCGCGGTGATTTGAACACGTCAATCCATGAATTGTTTCATGGACCAGGAGTGAGGACCCGGGCCATGCTGGGAGGAGGGAACTCTTTTGGAGCTGGCCATGCTGAGAGCAACTACCAGGACCACGGAGTTCGGGTGGTTGATGGACACCCCTGACGGACGGTATTTTCCGTCCACTAACCACCCCTTCCGTGGTCCTGGTATATTGCATTAATATCATATATCTATAAATATATTATGTATTAGAAGGTCAGGGACTGTTTCTTGTTGGCCTCAAAAAGTCCAGTTCCTGTAGCCTCAAATCAAGACCTTTTGTTGGCATGTGGTATAGAATCAGAGGATGAACAGAAAGTCAAAAGCGAATGCCTGTCTTACTGATGATGGGCCATCTTCTGGATGACCCAAAACAGGTCTTACTCTCGGCAACTACGCCTTTAAGTAGAGATCATAAGAGATGCTGGTCTTACTCTTGGTCCTTTTCTTCTCAGACCCAAAAAAACAATAAAAACAGCCTGGCTCGCTTCCCGGTTGAAGGATCCTTTGTGGTGACTCACATGCGACGTCTATAGGAGAGGGATGGTTTTCATGGGATAAAAACACAGCGGAAAATTGGACCATATAGGACCCTTAAACCTAGCCATATGTCTTTCGCAGCACAGAATAGGATACACATGATCATCACCAATTTCGGAAGACTAAGACCGGTTTTCTCACAAGATCCACTACCATACATCGACACTCGACGGGAAGAGCTCGAGCATGTGCAGCATGAACGAACCAGGGTGGGCTCTTCGGAAACTTTAAGGGTTTCTCTTGGTTCTGAGGGTTGTGATATCATTCCCCAGCAAGCCAACAAATCTGCGCCTCCTCAGCTCTCATTGGCAGCTCTCCTCAGCGCCTCTCCCTCTGCGCTGGTGCTGCGGAACGCGCGCGGCGAGGAGCCGCTGCAGGCGATGGCCACCCGCGGACGCGCACAGCTCGTGAGGCGCAGAGCGGTTTGTCCAAATGCTGAGTTGTGCTTAGCAAGGAATAGGGGAATGCATCCTCAGGTATCTATATGGTAAGGGATCATTCCCCAATGCCCTACGAGGGGCTTCCCGGCTTCCCCTGACTCCCAGCAGCACTTGGTTCCTCGATCAGGCTGCTGCTAGCGCGGCGGGCGGATCCCAATGCTACGGATGACAGGCCACATGGCGGAGAGCATGGTTATTCACTGACTATACTGCAGCTCCCGTGTGGAAATCCATCGATTGGTGTTCAGGAGAGTGTCCTGGTGACGCTTGTTTTCTCCATGCAAACCTAAACTAAAGTCTTCATAACTGCAAACGGCAGTCACAACCATCATCCAATCAAAAGTTCAGCGAAGGAGTCCTCCGTATCGCCAGAACCATCCAAACGACCTTCTTCCTGCGCTCTCTGCGCACACGCAGGTCGTGGACTCCGCTCACCTCCGCCGCGGCGCGCGGCCACCGAAGCGCCGTCCTCGCGCTCCTGGCGGCGAGTTCCACGGCGAAGCGTTCGGCCGGTCCGCTGGGCGCAGCTGCGCGGGCAGGGTACCTGGGATGGGGCTGGTGGAGTTGCTGATGGGTGGAGGTCGAGTGGGTGGGTGGACGGAGCTGGTGATGGATGGAGGGTCATGGAGGTCGAGGTTCTGAGTCGAGTGCCTTTAGACTCGTGATGGAAAATGGTCAATCCCCCCAAAATGAGGAGGTTTGATATGGTCTGATATTCCAAATGGGCGGGTTGATTCATCAAGAGTTTACATCACTGAGCGTGTTGTTATTTTTATGCTGACATTTTGCCAACAGTGGTGGTCAGGCGTTCTTTTCTTCACCAAGCCCCATATCGGACATCTTTCACAGATGACAGGGGTCCAGGGCAGGGTTTGGGGAGTTTAACCTGCTGGAGCCTGCTTTGGCGGAGAATTTAATATGGTGGTACATGGTTGTTTCGGCATGCAAGTAATGTAGATGGCTACAACATGCTACAACAGTTCGCTGGAGATGTTTGTGGGTGGGCCCAAAAGTCTGGGCCTAGTCTTAGACACGCCGGATTTTTTCACCTGTACTGCATTCATCTATAGGTCCTGTCCTGCCTTTTGCTACCTCATATCAGATATCAAGTCACTGACTGGTTTCCCAGGGCTGAAGCGGTTCCGCCCCAGTCAGATGTGTCTGGGTTGGGGGGGCATTGCATGCAGGGTCATATAGAAGCTTTCTGAAAGTCAAGTATCCATACCAGGCCTATACAACCAACATGAACCAACCAACCAATCTAAACTGTAGGACTCTAGGACCTTTTCCCATGAAGACAAAAGGTTGGTAGATTGGTATCACATTCTTTAGTCTTGCTGATCCACCAAGAGATCGAGATCTTGCAGTGCCGCGCACCATAGAGGACCTTTTACCTCCTTGCTTGGTTGATTCATAGTGAACCAGGGCGACCCCCGGTAGTGAACAACCAAGTCCGGCATACTGTTACCTGGCATCCCCCCCGTTCGGACACATCATCGCCGTGGTCGTCCGGCGGTACGGCGCGGTGGACACGCCAAGGCACAGCGAGGTGGTCAAGCTTTTGCTGGAGCACCACTTCGACCCGGAGGTGGTTGAAATCGCCGGTGCGGCGTTTGGGTCAGAAAGGTGCCGACGTTGACCGAGAAAAGCCACCCATGTGTAGATAAACCATGCCAAATGAATGTGACTAGGATCACAACGAAGCATTTTTGTTTCAGTTCGTCATAGTATTGCAACCCCTTACGTTGGCCCTTCTTATTATCCAACTAGCTCTCCGTATCATGTGAGAAAACATGTTGAATGGAGTATGTTGGGGTTTCCACAGTGGTTGTTGATGAAGCTCCGCTCTGACAGACCATTAGGTGAGATGGCTTGTGATTGTTAACCAGAAGGGCTCAGTCTCTGCATCTGAAAAGGAGGTGGTTGGGGCGCCAGGAGGCTTTGTCCCTACCTTCTGAGGAGATGGTTAGAGCCCCAGGGAACCATGGTTGGCTTATGTTTCTTATAATCGCCTGCCACTGAACGGATAGGTGTTCAGGCCATCAAAAATTAAGATGGACCGTGTATTGCTTCAATTCCGCGTGTCTAAATACAAAATCCATCACCGACATGTCCTGACTCATAGACCACTGGCTTCGAACTTCCTGTGCACGCCAATTCGGTTTCGGTGCTACACCCAATTCGGTGTCACTTCGACAGTCCTTCACGGTCCTTCGTTGAGTCCAGTTCTGTCCGTCCGTGCCGTCCGCGTCGTGGGCCGCGTGTCCCGGCACTCCGAGTGTCCCGGCACGGCGCTCAAGGGTCGGTCCGACACCATGTGAGTCACCCCCGATGGTCCAAAGGAGAGTGTCCCATGACCAAAGTGGTGTAGGATACACTGTCCATGAAGGGTATATATATATATATATGTATATATAGGCTACCTGTACCGGAAAACAGGCCTGAAACACTTTGAAGATGAGTACTGGTACAACTGCATCTCGGGGGTCGTCACTGTCATGCGCCATGTTTGAGGAGACCCTACTCCTCCAGTTGCGATAAGAAACAGCCTTTGTGCCCCAATTGGGAAGAGAAAGGATGGAAAACATAGATGGACCGAACCTTTGCTTGGTTCAGAGCCTTCAAAGTGTTCAACCAGTCAAAATCAAACATGGGTCGGTCGACCTTGTCGTCAGACCAGACCAGTGCAGACTTTCTTTGTGCACTTCGAAAAACCAGGAGCCCTTCGAGGGCTTCCTACCACTGCAATGGGCTGAAGCGGCTCAACACACGAACGTCTTGGAGCTCTTGACCTCAACGAGGAGCGCCCGACGATGTCATGCGTCCCGACGGACCTGGTGCGATCCACCTGGTCCAGTCGCCACCATCCGGAGACGAGGTGTTGACATGGCATGACCGTTCGTCCAATCAAATGAGGTCCATTCCTGACCTGTAGAGTACGATGTTGGGCATCCTGTAGATGGTCGATAGAGAAACGTCCTGCAAAGTTCTCCACGCGTCACCGCCCCGGTTCGCCGTTGCCCCGAACCGTTTCGAGGGGGGGGTCGGGGAGAGTCGGGATCCGATGCCTTCCAATGTGGCCCGGGAGTGCTTGGTGTGGAGACGTGACATGAACATGAAGCACAGCCATGTGGCTGTGTATCTCTAAACTTCTCTAGTCAGGTAGTCACACAATGTCACACACACATATGCAATCAGAAGGGAAAGACAACCCGGTTTGTGTCCACAAAGTCTTGTGTACTTTTTGACGTGTTTTTTTGCATGGGTCTGGAATTTTGACATGAACATGATTCTCAAGAAGGGACCCCTTCCAAAGTCATTGATCAGCTTGATCCATGGATTGTTGGGTCTAGCGATATCAGGTCTTGGCTGAAGCTGCTGGTTCCATTGAAGACATGACTGGATTGACTCTTTGATGGCAGATCTAGATGAGGATACCGAATCAGTGTCGATACCGAATCAGTGTCGATTCCTGCGCAATAGTGCGCGGGACATCCCGCCCTCTTGGTGTGGGGTGCGGACTGGCTGTTTCGGCAGCTTGTGGCTTGTGGGTGCAGAAAGGAAGTGCCATCCCGAAGTGGACGGGGAAGACATGTGAAGACTGTGTGCATGGGTGACAACATGTCACATTTGTTAGAATTTCATAATGTCCATGGAAGACATCTCCGGCTCATCCATTGGAATTCATTAAAAACATAGAAGCAACTTCCACTCCTCCAACCAGGCTCAGCAAGTTGAGCAACAGCCAAGGGATGCCTGGCAGGCCGTGCGGGTGGAGGAGTTGTAAGGATGAGAGATGACGAACCCTCAAGAGCCTTGTCGTTCAAGGTCCTTGGAAATTCCCTTCTACCTGGAAAGAGGTGAACCACCGGTTTTTTCATGGTTGAGATGGAGATGGTACAGGATGGTACAGGATGGTTGGAAGATGCAACGACGCAGTGGGACACCAGGCATTTGTTATTGGGTGATAGTGCATGTGATAGTCGGTGACTAATATTAGTCAATGATGGATGAACTCCTGCATGCTTTTCACGCGAGTTCCAGAGAGCATGCTTTTTGGATGGCAGGTTGACTCACCAGCCCTGTTCACCCATGTCCCCACACTGGATGGGCGCGCGTCCCGCGGTGCGTGAAGGCTAATCATTTATATATCATCATCGCCCGGACGCGCCGGTCCTCGCAGAGGAGACAGCGAGTGGGTTCAGCAAACTGTTACGGCCTTTTTCCCAGGCCCCCAAGACTGATCCTGAAAAGGGAGGGGTAGAATGAGCTCACGTGACGCGAACGGATGCATAGAGCCTGGATAATATTTTCTGTTCTTTTTTCAGCAACATTGGCATTGTGAACCTCCAAGTGGTATAGGACAGTTGCCCTGTCGTGTTTCTCCATGAGGCCGCCGCGGAAGCAGAAGAGACCATACCACGAATGGCGGCCAGCGAGGCCAGTAGCCGTCCCCAGTTCCACGACGGCTCGCGAGTCTCTGGCCCAAGCCTCGGCAGGATCTCAGGAAGCTTTCTGCGCCTGTGGAAATGGAATGATAGAGGTTTCTGTCATAGACTCTTGATTAATAACCTCTTCATGAGAGGTTTTATACTGTAAATGAACAGCGTGCTGATTTACGGTGGGATCCACAAATTTTCAAGGTTTTTCAGGTCTCTTAGGTGACATGCCTTTGATTCTATAGTACCAGATCACAGCCACATCTTTGTGCTTTCAATCCAAGTTTCCTGATCATCAGAGAAAGACAAGGAATTCCAGGTTGGAAGGTCTACCAATTCAAGGAGTCTAACACTGCCCGAGATCATTTCAAGCTCTTGGATAGAATCCTTTTTTCAGGCTCATGTCATACAAACACAACATCCCCATGTCATTGATCAGGACACTTTTGGACAGACGACGAGATGCTTTGGTCAAAGCTGATGAATTTGTTAGTTCACAATTCCCAGTGATTGTTCTATTTAACCTGAACTAAGTGGAACATTCCAGTCACACCCAAACAAAAGAAGTCACACATCACAAGAAAGAGCCATGCTTTGTTCAGATGCTTTTTGCAGTTTCATGCTTTTTTGCCAAATATATACAAATATGGTGGGGCTTTAATGAGTCATTGAGTCATCCCAAACACTGGGAGGCCTCCATCTTTGGAGTCGACCACCAGAAGGCCATCCACTCCTGAAGACCCGGAGACCATCCGCTTCTCACGAACGCCACGCTCTGGAGGATGAGCCCAAAAGAAAACCACGGGCTAGGGATGGCTAGGGCTCCAAAAAATAATGTAGACCCGCAAGTTTTAGTACGTATTTTGTTTGACCATGTGTTATCAGTTGGTTTGGTGCCCAGTTTTTTTTGGGGCCATGAGACGCGTGTTTGCGGGAGCCGGTGGCTTTGGGGAGAAGAGGTGCCTCACGTTCAGCATTTTCCGGTGCTCGACTTGTACGGGATCTTTGGAAGATTCTGGAAGTAAGTGCACTCTGAGGTCTCCAAAACGATCCAAAACTGCTGAAACATATTCTGACCAGAATGAATGAACAGAATCTCCCTATGGGACGGGGTTAGTTGGATCCTTCGAAAGAGAACGGACGTCGAACATGGTGGCACACACCGGACCTACGAGTGAGCCTAAGGGGACCATGAGCGATTCTCGGTACTAACCGTACCTGGACCGTGACTCCAGCACATGAAAAATGCATGAAAAATGCGACATGACCCGAACATAAATCCGATCAACAGCAGATGTTCCATCGTGCATACTTGCAGGATCCAGGTGTTTGGCGCTAGATCCAAAGGGATCGTCACATTGGGACATCTTCCCCACGTGGATGAACTGGAAATAGCTTGCCCGGGAAAACCACTGTCCACCCTGTATCCTTAGGGATCCACATACCTTCTCAGGAGGTACTTGCGCCCCTCCAAGCCTACATTAGTCTCCAATCACCTTCTAGAAGGTACTTGGATCCCTAGGGTATAACATGTTTGTGCAAGACGGATGTCACATGAGAGGAGACAAATGTCATCCCAATGAACAGATTTGAGTGAACAGGCCGCCCCCAATATATATTATTTATATATATATATATTATATATATATACACACTGTATATACCATGCATCTCTTCTTTTCGTACCTGTGAGTTGTAATAAGATTGTGTCATAAGTCATAAGATATAGGTTTGCCATGCAGGCTTCAAGTTAGAGGAAAATCCAAGATCTGAGATAGAAATCGTGCACAGATCTTTTCTATCGCAGAGTTTTTGTGTAGACAGCAGCCAGATGCCAAGGGTGTCAATGTGCACACGGCGATTGATGCCCGGTGGCTGCCGATCCAAGGTCCCTTCTTCTTGAAAAACTTGAAGTCGGTGCTCAAATGGTGGGCTTTACTTTTCCATGCTGGAACCTAAGCGTGCTGTTGGACAGGCAGCGCATTTTGACCATGCTCCTGATGGAATGAGTCAAGGCTCTCATATAGAACTCATTGAGAAGAAAGGCATGGCATCACATCGGTCCGGTGTGATAAGAACCCTGGGAAAGAGGGAGGTTGTTTGGGGTCAAGCTTTGTTTGAGTATCCCTATGGATCCACTGCCACCTTCTCAGGTTCGGTCATTGGACCCTCCTGGCGCCTACATAAATAGTCTCCGTCCTCACCGTACCTCAGGTTCGGTCTGTGGATCCATACCCAGACACTCCATGGGACGCCCCATTGACCCCCCCAAACCACCCCAATGGGCGGCATATATGGCAGTCCCATGGAGTGTCTGGGATAGGGTATAAGAATGTATAAGAAATCGTCAGCGTCGGTCGCCTTGGTGGTCCAGATGCCCAGTCAGCACGGTCTGCCCGAGGGAACTGACCGATCGTGGATCGACGCGCGCGGTGAAAGACTCGTGGATCGACAGTGTCGTTCGACATTTAGGGACGAAAGGATGTGCTGCAGGTGAAAAAAGGGAGAGGAGAGGACAACATGGAAATATGAAACCAGACCTTATGTGGTAAATCACCTCTTAATACCTCTCATGTTTCATCGACGATATGGATGGTTTTAGTTGGCATTACAGCCACCCAGTACTACCAGGAATTGGCGAGACATCTTGCCTTTCTCGGCATGAAAAAGGACCACAGCCACCCTCTAGATATTCGGAAAGAACGATCACCGTGATCTTTAGACAAACCTTCTGCATTTCCGGATGTTCGGCCGATGGAAACAGTTCGGCCGATGCCTCCGCCATCAGCGGGCTTTCGGATCCACCTGACGGATGGATCCGTCCTCCGCCCGGGCTTTTGGGGGGCCACCGGGGGGGACCCCATGGGTGGCCGTTTCGACCAACGGCCGTGACCGGTTTTGTTGATGTATATGATTTGATAGATGTTGATAGTACTTGATATAAAGTGTTGATATTTTTTTTTTCGATATGATAGTATAGAGTATTATACCTCATGCAGCTGGTTCTTTTGTCCCAAGTAACATCGACCCTGTGACCAACTGAGGCCCATCCCTTGGCCTTCGCCCACGCGGACGTGTCCGGGGCCGAAGGGACGGTGGCCACGGACGTTCCGCCGGTTGGTTCGGGTCGCACTAGGCTCGGCTGGGATGGGGTGTAGAAAAACCGTGAGGATGTGGGACAGGTGGTTCATGAAACATGGGTCAGTCTGTTCATTTTTGCGATTGAAAGATCGAGCCGGTAAGACGGTAAAAGAAGGATAAAGAACGTAAAGAAGGGAACACTGGAACAGCCTGGTATCAGCACAAGGGCTTTGGCGAGAGCCCAGCATGGCCTATGAGATTGGTGCAGTAAAGAGTCAACCAGGGTCCTGGCGTGCCATTAGCCATGGCCGCCATGGCCACTCAGGCTTTTGCTTTTGCTGCAGCAGCACTTAGGCATTTGTCCAATCAGCTCAAGAAGAGGTTCCATGAAAGCGAGACAACATGCAAGAACATCAAGAACTCGTGCAGCACTTGTTCAAGATTCTGACAGTCCCCAAATCCATTCGCTGTTGGATCGACATTTTAGCATTTCACCAGGGGAACGCGCTTGAATAACTAGAAGCTCGCCCAGTTGCCCGATAGGCCTGGTCGAATTGAAAACGAATGAAAACGATGACTTGCAGGTCCCACATATTATGGACGCGCCCTTCAGACAACCACGGTGGAACAAATGGAACAGATCTTCAGATTGCGTGGAAGGCGCCAGGACCACCCCCAGTCGTGACCGGTGGCCCGACCACAGGACGGTGAAGCTGCAAATCCGGTCACCAGGAGAGATCTCTACTTTGGATGGTCCAGGTAGAAAATACTGTATGTCATATGTTCTAAATGTTGTTGGATTTTTGCTGAAGGTTTCTTGTAGAGGGATCACTATGACAGAGACAGCAGCCAAACTTGGAAACATGTCAGCCCAAAAGGGTGTAAGAAGCTAGAGCCCCCCAGATTCCAAAGGGCATGTTCCATTGAATTTGTTCAATCTTTCATGTTTGTTCCATCCATTCTCCATTTCCCCTAGCTACATCGCCAGTTCATGACATAGGCAGAAGCGGGCTTTAGGCACTTCCTTTGCTGGACATCACCGCCACCGGGGTCAGGTGTGGCGTTCTCCACTGCAGCGTCGAGGCCCTCTCGTGGTTCGCACCTGGGAGAGTGCTTCGCTCGGGCACGAAGTTCGGCGACCAGAAGTTGGCCCAATTCTGCATGGTCCAAAAGCATAGCGGGGACTGGGAGATACTGGGATGTACTGGGTGCTCAAAAAGACCAGCGAACATTGCCGCATGTTTTGTTGGCTACCATGAGGTGGTGATCCTGTTTTGTTTGCTCTTGGGTTGTGGCATGTTGGCTGTTTTCAAGTGTTGAGCAAGCACAGGTGAAAGCCGAGACGTCTCAACAACAGGTCGTTGCCTGCCGTGTTGACTTCGTCACCGACTTCGTCGGACAGACGCGGTACAGATGTGTGGCTCCTGTTCCGTTTTGCTTTTTGGGGGGGGCCTTCTAGGACGTCTAGGAGCCGTGTTGAGGGAGCCCAAGAAAGAAGCGAGGGTTCTTCACACGACTGGTGGCGCACAATGCTGTACCACGTTGACCTGCAACCGTATGAAGCAAGCCCTGCTCATTCTGCTGCATGTTGCTACTTGGATCGAAGGGCTTCCCGGCGGTGCTATTGATTGACGGAAATTGAACTGACTAATGAAAAGAACTGTGATTGAATGTGTTTGATATTGTATATCACTTAAACAATATGGTTAATTAAGTTCTTTGGCTTGGGATGATGTCGTTTAGTGTTTGCTTTCTTTGGGTTAATGTATGAAAGCTACTTGAGTTGGGCAGGACATAGGATCGCAAAAGATATGCCAACGTATTCGATTCGTCGCATTTTCCAAATGACCGCCCGAGATCGAGTTCTGACTGGCTGATTCGGAGCATTCTCAGCAGAATAGTATTTCAACCTTGGGAATATATGCCCCAAAACATGCCGAAAAGGATAATACCAATGGTATGATGCAGCAGCTGTTCAGTGGGCATGGTTTGTCAGGAGCACCGCCCAAAACACGAGCATGAAATTTTTGCTGAGGTTCCAATTCGCTCCTTTGGGTGCTTTCCATCCTCAGATTGTCATATCAAGGGTAGTTTGCAGTTCCTGAATTCCATGGATTGACCACAAGGATTCCTGAAGAGATGCTTTTGTTACTGTAATTGAAAAGGGCCCTTTCTGTTTGGACCAATGAATGACAGGTTATAGAAATGGGATCTTTTTAGAGTGCTGAGTTGGACTACGACTTGGACTTTCTGAAAGCCATGCAGTCTGTTGAAGCTTTGCTGAAGCCCTTCACGGGCTGCGGGATGTATATGTATATGGCTGCGTGAAGTGTGGCGGTGCCTGATCCTGAAGACGGCCCACTAAACACCTCTCGTTTCATCAATCTAAGCGCACTAGATTGAGATGGTCAACAAACAACACACTGATGCTGTAGCCAACTTGGTTGCCGTCCCAAAGCCGCGCCCTCCGAGCAGCACTGTGTTTATCCAGAGAGCTACATGGCACTGTGTGCGTATATTTGGTGCACACTGCCACGCCGATGCAAGTTTACCCAATTTTCCCTAGGACAAATCACGTTGTTCTCTACCAGGCATACTGTGCCAGTCTTTTCGGCTGGCTTGGAACGCGGGAGGTAGGCCAATCCATGCACGGCTTGCTTGGAAACGGGATGTAGCTGCTCTCATGGGGATGGGGATCCACGTGGGTGCCGGAAGGTTAGCGGGCGGGGGGGCATGTCGATG